CGGGGTCCACTTGGTCTCGACCTCGGCCTTGGATGCGAGGTACTTTTGGTCAGGTTCTTCCAGGCTGCAGGTATTGCTGACATCATTTCGAAAATACTTTGGACAGGATTTTTATCAGGTCGGAACATATGGTGGTGAGCGTCCGAGGCGTATGAGATAGTAGCAAAACAATTAATACTCGACTACGCCTATTTCCCGCCTGAATCCGCTGCCCCAATCACCAGAAAAAGGCTCAACAACCTTTTCAACACACGGAAATGAACTGCCTTTCCACCGCCTGTGGCGCCGGTGGCCGCCGCATCCTCTCTTTAACTACCCTCAGCGTCCTCCAAACCACTAACCCCTATAACCCCCTTGTAAAACTCCTTTCCACTCGATCAGAACTCCTTCCAATCCCCATAGCACCTCTTCCAAGTTGTACCCCACCAAACACAAAACCACGAGAAAAACAACTACAGCCGCCGCCACCTTCCCAAAATCCTAATGAAAACCCTGATTTCAACCCAACTGAAGTAACCATCCTTTCCAAAATTCTTACTGACCCAGCCATTCTATCCGGTCCGGCACTCGAGGAAGCGCTTACGGCAGCCCGGATTAACCCGGTCGAGACCTTGTTGCTAGAAGTCTTCAAGCAATTTGATTCCTCTCCAAAACTCTTGTTCACACTCTTCCTCTGGGCCGAGAAGCAGCCCGGATACTGCTTCTCCCCTACCGTCTTTAATGTCATGGTTAATGTACTAGGCAAGGCCCGGGAATTCGAATCTGCTTGGAGCTTAATTCTCGACAGGAGCAATAAAAACGCTAGTGAAGGGCCTGATTTAGATACATTTGCAATTATGATTCGGAGATACGGACGTGCAGGTATTATGTTAGTGCTTGTAAATTTGGGATTATAGCTATTTCTTTGTAATTTTTAATTTTCATTTTTAATTAGTTAGAATATTTTCATATTCATTTTATGTTGAGATGCAGATACGTTGATAGTTTTGTTTGTACTTCTTTTCTCAAGTCCTTGTATGCAGTCTGTTTATTTTTTAGCACTTCCAGGAACGAAAATTTTATTGTTTCTTATCTAGATTCACATTCTTGGAGTCTATGTGTTCATTTTGTTGGATTGGCATGCAGGCCTTCCATTGCCAGCCATTCGGACATTTGAATACGCTGCTAGTCTGGGCTTTCTTAATGATTTGGAGTCGGGGAAGAGTTTGCTTGAGATTCTATTAGATTCTTTGTGTAAAGAGGGACATGTTAGAGTAGCAGCTGAATACTTTGATAAGCGAAGGGGACAAGATCCAAGCTGGGTACCATCTATTCGGATATATAATATTCTACTGAATGGATGGTTTCGATCAAGAAAGCTAAAACATGCTGCAAGGCTTTGGGTACAGATGAAAAAGGAGAATGTAAAGCCAACTGCTGTAACTTATGGCACCCTTGTTGAAGGTTTGTGCCGTATGCGCCGTCCTGAGATGGCTATGGAATTAACTGCTGAAATGAGGAGGGAAGGAGTCGAGGGTAATGCAATTGTGTATAATCCAATAATAGATGCATTAGGAGAAGCTGGGAGGTTTAAAGAGGCATTAGGGATGCTGGAAAGATTTTCAGTTCTTGAATCAGGTCCCACTATTTCGACCTACAATTCACTGGTGAAGGGTTTCTGCAAGGCAGGGGATACTGAAGGTGCTAGCAAGATTCTTAAGATGATGGTAGATAACAGATGTATGCCAACTCCGACGACTTATAATTACTTCTTCAGATACTTCTCAAAATTTGGAAAGATCGAAGAGGGCTTGAACCTTTATACCAGGATGATAAGATCTGGGTACGAACCAGACCGCCTTACTTATCATCTGCTGGTGAGAATGTTATGCGAGCAGGACAGGCTGGATATGACAATTCGAGTTATAAGAGAAATGAGGGCTAGGGGATTTGACTTGGACTTGGCTACAAGTACCATGCTAATCCACTTGCTATGTAAAATGCATCGATACGATGAGGCTTTTGGAGAGTTTAACGACATGATTCGTAGGGGCATTGTTCCTCAGTATCTTACATATCAGAGAATGATTGATGAATTGAAGAAACGGGGAATGACTGAAAGGGCACAGAAACTTTATGATATGATGGCATCAGTTCGTCACTCAACGAAGTTGCCTGACACATACAAGGGAGTTGGGGACTCTTTGCATGAAAGGAGAGCATCTATAATGCAGAAAGCTGAAACAATATCCAATATCTTAAAGACGTGTAAAAACCGAAGAGAGCTTGTCAAGCATAGAAGTCAACTTGAGAGTTCTGTATTCAGTGCACACCAGTTGACGGATAATATAAAGAGAAAAAACGATTTAACATGAAGTGCTGATTTCTCCATGTAGCGAAAGAACAGTAAGAATAGCTTTCACTAGTCATTACTAAATGAAGGTGATGCAGCACTCTAATTTGTTTGAGAGCAGTAAGTGCATGTACGCATCACACTATTAACAATGCCGAAAGATGCATCATAGTGCAAATAAAGTTGGTGCTTAATGTGAAGGGAGAAGATAGAAATGTTTTCACTACTTTGATTGTGGGTTATGGAGCAGGAAGCAACATAGCTTGGGGCGTAAAACTTGGTTGTTACGAGGAATTAGCTTCACCTTTTGCAGGAAAGTAAAATACTTGTGGGAAACTGACTTTAACAAGCAATGTTGGGTTTGACTGAAAATATTTCTTCAAAAATTACGCAGTCGATAGATGGACAGTGAACTTGGATAGCGTACAGGTGAGATTCTTTACTATCTAATAACTTTCTGAATTTCTATTATCTTTAATATTCGATTCTGATGGCTAAGCAGTTTTCTCCACCATCCCATCTTTTTCCCTTTCTTCTCTTCTCCAAATTAAGTGTTCACTCATCTATTCTCTTATTCCTTTCTATGTATGTAAATTCTTATCAGACTAGCCAAAGGATTAGCCTTTATCAAGAACGTGAATATTATCTGTTTTAACTTACACAAATACATCTTGATGCATATTATGGGAGAGGATATTTGTATTTTAATTGATGCTTCACAAGCTGAACTACCATCCATTTTTTCCTTTGTCATGATGCAGCAGGTTGCGACTCCTGACAGTCATTTATTATTACTGTTAGAAATAATTTTTATTATTGAAAATGATATATGATATATAATTGATTTATAGTGGAATGGCTCGAATGAGGTTTAAAAGTAGTTCTGGAGCTCAAGGATAGATATTTGAATGAATTTGGGTATCAAATGATCCAGAATTTGCTGGAACACTTTGCATTCGCGAGGTTTTGGTACGTGCACGTGAAGTTGTTCCATTTTTTCACACGCGCGAGTTCCAACTAGGAAAAACCTTTTTTTAATTTCTGATTCAGAAAGTTATGTCTATTCATTATTGATTTCCTCCTTTTCGAACAATATTGACTTTTTTGATGCCATAACATTATATGAGTTGAGAGAAAATTTATTTGCACAATTACAGTTATAATCTTCATAGCGCACTCATTTAAAAAAGCGTTCTTGTTCTTCAAAGAATTTATATTCTTGCTTGATGTAAATTCTTAAAGCTTGATTATTCCTCTAAACTATTTGCCGGTTATTCCCACAAGCAATCTTTAAATCAAGGGGGG